CTCAATGGTCGTGCCGCAGTTAGAACCACGCTTAAACGTGCTACAAAGCGGAGAAGCGGCCAAAAAAGTTGAAACGCACCCTGAAGCATCACCTGACGGGTGGCCGGTACCAGTGACATGACAGTAGGTCCCGTTTTCAATCGCAGAATGACAAACGGGACGACACGTGGGACATGCGTTTGATCGCGAAAGGGGCGAGACGTAGTCGTGGATAGATAGGGTGGATTCAGAGCAGAAGGATGAACGAGCTGATCGTCGGAACACGGTCTTTTGTGCTTGTTTCTAAGGTCGACTGACTCCATTGCCGAAGGACAGCGACGAGGAGCCGTCGGGAAGCTTCTGGCTTCTCTTTGTCGGCGCTTGGTTGTTCACCCTCTTCCTTTTTTGAAGCTCTTTGTGCCTGTTTAATTATCATACACATCGTTTGAAGAGAGGAAACGGGGGAAACAGACGAGGGGATGTTTAGAAAGTTTCGGGAATTTGTAGACATTGATTATATTTGTCTTTTCTCGTATTCTTAGCGGGTATGGGTTATCAGGCAGGTTTTAGGTTCTGAGTATTTCCTAATATTTGTTTTATCTTTTTTATTCGTTGTCTAAATAGATGGGAACCTTTGATTGTTTTGCTAAGCAATTTTATTGCTTACAAGCTTTCTACATCGATATGTTACCAAACGCTACCACTAAAAGACGATAATAAAGGAAAAGAGATAAGAACGAATAAGGTTTAGAGATTGAACGTGTTTAGATGGTCGAACAACCCTAGACTATGGGTTTCCTGAGGAAATGGCCACTCGACACCTGGCCGTTATAAAACCTATCCCCCTATCCTGAGTATTTCGACTTGCCATCTTTATCACCTACGTCTTAACGTAACTCTCGAATATCGTCGTACACGGTCCACTCGGCCGAAAGTTTACAACTATGGGTATCATTACTCTTCCCTGGTCCTTTTATTTTCACCGAGGAATCGTTATCAGCCCGCACTGTCCGCAACTTCTCCACGCGCTGTGTTGTTTGTTCTGTGTCTCGCGTAGTCCCACGAGGTGGAGGGAAGAAGGTGAAAAACAAAGGGGCAGCAGAGAAAAAAAAAAGAAGAGCAGAGGGAAGAGAGAGGAACTTTATTATCCCGGCTAACTCCTGGCAAATTCGTTTATTTGGCGCAGATAGCACAGCCAGCGCAAAAGTTTCGGCATTAAGGACGCTGATAGCAATGCGATGGCTGGCTGTTTTTGACGAGGAAACTCGTCGCCCGATGGTCAGCCAACTTTCTGCCGCGTGTCTACTTTAACACACGTGCAATGTCCTTTTTTTCGAGAAAAATTAAAAAGGAGAATAAATTCTCGATATACTCAACACGAATGTAATTAAAGTTATCGTAACTAAAGTGATTGGTATTCTTGTGAGATAACGAGGTCGCTAGGTGACCCTTTCGTATTCGTGTTAAATTAAGATAAAGAAGAGAAAATGAGAAAGGACGATCTGTAAAGGATGACAAAAGAGGAAAAGAAAGAACGACGAAAAGAGTTGATAAAGAAAAGAACGACGAGATGGAAGAGTAAAGGTTAGAGAGAGTTCCATCAAAGTTATGTTCCTTCGACGCTTCGATACAAAAACACGAAGGATCCACAAGATTTCGTCATCGTATAAGAAAAGCCAAACTAAAAATTCCGAAATGTTCTAAAAATACAGAAAGATACGAAGGATACTGTATCAAAATGACGTGATTAGAGAGAATGGAAAGTGGTCGTTAGCAAAGTTTTGCGGAAAAATGTGAAGCATTATTTATAGGATTTTGTCGCCATACGAGAAGAGCCAATTCTAAAGTACAAATAAAATAAAACAATTCTAAAATATTCTAAAAATATAGAAAAATATGAAAGATGGGCATAGAAAGATTATGAAATTAAATGATTAAAAAGAAGAGAAGATGATCATCAGCCAAGTTTAATTAAACTCGATGAGATCGCGCCCTCATCTTGGTGGCTGTTCCGATCAAGCCGACCTTAATTAACCGGTTCGCGATTTTTGGCAAATTTACAGCCTCGCCAGCATCGTTCGCAATTACTCGCGCATTTTCCTCATTCACTGGCTGTAACTCGATTGATTCGAAAACGCGGAATCGCCGGAAGGACACCGTTAAAACGGACCCAGAGTTCGTTCTCATCTCTGTATCTCTCTTTTCCTCTCCGCCTCTCTTTCTCTCGTTCGTTCCGGTCTTAATTCATTCACCGTCTGCAGAATATCGCGTCGAAACTCGAGTAATTCTATTAACGGCGGCCAAGAATGCGAAACAATTTAGCAAACACCCGCCAGACGTCCGTGGACCCGGCGTATAAATTTTTCCTTTTAATAATACCGACTAATTGCCGCCCGGTAACCGGAAGCCCGTAGCGTTCCCACCTCTAGCCGCATATTTCAAGATTCCCAGTTACTCCCAGCTTCAGGTTATTTTATCGCAAGGCACGAATTCCTCAAGTTTGTTCCGTTTCATTAGAGCCGTTCCTATTTTAGGGGATATTTAAGAACTTCATTTCTAGATCTCCTACTTCACTTTCCTTTGTGTTTTGTTGATAATGCGATAGTAAATTGAGATAACGCGAATCGAGGAGTTTATGTGAGATAAACGATACAGATGTCAAAGATAAACATTTCTGATAGAAATAGAAGATGCATTTTTATTAACTTTCGCACTTATATCATTTATAATTTAAGCGCTATGAACATTCAACGTTCCCCATTTTTACAGATTCGAAGGAGAAGTAAAAGGTAAAATATTTTTGTGGACGCGTAAAATTTATTTATTTGTGTATTATACTTTTATTTTTTAAAATCAAAGTCTAATTGACTTTCACGAGGATAGCGCTGCTTTGCGATAATTCGAAACACTGCGATAAATTATTTCAATGTTTATATAATTTCTTTCTCGCCACATACCGTATGAAGTTTGGCTCCTTTTCCGCTAAAAAAGAAAAGTTAGATTTTGCTGTTTCATATCATTTGCTATTTCACTTCTAATTATAATCAGTTTCATGATTATCGTAAAATACAATCGTTTTAATGGATTTTCGGTTAGACATAGTTAACACCAATAACGACCTATTAGCCAATTTAAGAGTATAACCGCGTCAGGAACAATTTTTAAATTTCTTACTCGAATTTTCATAACATTTTAGAGATATCGTGATCGCTATTATCGCAGATTTTAATCAATTTCCGATTAGACGATTAATATGGATAACGTCGTAAGAACATGACTTATCGAGAATCATTTACTAATGCCTCAGTGAATTCCAAGTAGATGTCATTAGCTAAATTGGTAGCTAGAATTTGTGGTTGTACAAACGGCGTAGTTTCTGGAAATCATCTCAGGCTATCGCCGGCATTATAACCAGCTTCATCAAGATTTGAGGACACGACATCGATACCAATGCGATGATCGTTTGCACATCGTCCTCCATGGAATAATCCGGATCATACTACGAACTTTGACGCGATGATTTGGGTCACGTTAAGCTACACCATTTGCTTTTGATCGAATTTACTGTTCGAATTAATATTTCTTCCACTTGAAGATCACGCGACAGATATCTGATATATCCACTTTTGTTAGTTTTTTAATTTTCATGTCGCTTAAGTGGCTGAAAAAATATATTTTAATATGAAATAATTGAATAATAGATTATAAACTCAAAACATTTTTCTAATAAAGAAACAATATTTGTTTAGTTACTACGTTAGTTTAATTTAATTGATAACAATCGATGTGACTCTCGAATCTTATTAATATTTTTTAAATAATAGAATCGTATATTTAATCCCGAAAACAATTACCAAAATTGTTTTGGCGTGGAGTTGCTTGACAACGTATCGATTTTTTAAATTGCTCTTCTATAAAATACGAGAAATATGACTGACTTATCATGTTTTTCTCTCCTGTGTTTTTCCATTTGGAAACAATTAATCGTGTACGAAAAAGGTAAACGACAAACTTTCGTTTCCCTTGCTAACTTCTCTTTTAATCTTCTCTTTTAACACGTCGATATTGGCCCACATTTTACATTCTGTCGCGCGACAGAATTTCGATGCGTCGCGCACAGCTCGAGAAAAAATCCAATTGGCCCCTGGACAATGAATGAAAAAAAGAAAAAAAAAAGAAGGTAGAGAAAGGTACACGTATGCGACCACGTATATATGTATGTCCAGGTGACTGTATGAGAAACGTTACGTTCACCGTGGGAAAATGTTCGACAGTGGCACGCCAGAGACACATAAATTGTTCGTTTCCCGCGGCGAGAACGCATGAATTTATAAACAGCAAAGCGGCGTCATTATTACGGGAAAAATCATATAAATCTTAACGCGTGGTCGAGTATCGTTCCCTCTGGACTGACTAGTTCTTTCATCGTCGAGAATCGCAAGATATAGAGATGCGTTACAGCGAACTCTGATTCAACGTTTGGTGAAAGGAAAATACACGTAATTTAGATTTATAACTACTGTTATATCTAGATTTTATAATAATAAACGTAAATAAATTCATAATGTATGGTCCAAATAATTCATTTTGTCAAATTAATTATACAATACAGTGTTTATACGGGGATTAAAACGATATTCCTCCCTTAATTTCCATTTGCCGTTTCCGAAATTTTAATGATTATAAAATATATTCCACCAGGTGTACGAAGTTCGAGTATTTTTAATCTTTCAAATTTAGTCGATACTATAGATTCCTTAATACATCCATGTCTCTTTGTATTTACCGTGCGTAAGTTTAAAGAAATCGTCATGAAACTTATCACACTCGCGCAGATTACACAATCACCGCTCAACTCATCAACTTGACCGTATACCTGTAATAGCTACTTACAACTTCGCAGTTTAAATACTCCATATACTCTCCAAAATCATGTGAAAGTCATGCGCGACGCACTCCTCATACCGAAACCCGAACAACTCGAAAAATCTTCCAAATCTAACCTCTCATACATTTTCCAGGTCACCAGAGCTACCAGTACCATAATCCCGAAAAACGACTACCGCTGCGAGCCAGTAGAAACTAGTAGAAACGCCAGACCTATATTCAGAAAAGTAGTCGAATTGTCTCGGTGGTCGCAAAGCTACGGGAAAGAAAACGACAGCGATGAGTTGGCTGCAAGAGGGTTGCTGGGCGGAGTGGCTGCAAGAGGGCCAATAAGGAAAATGCCTGGTCGAATGGCGGAGCATCGTGCTCCTCTACACGGGCCATATAAGTGTCCGTCCCGGGAGAAGCCGGTCGCGGTACATCAGATAAGAAAACCTGGTCTCGGAATAGAACCCTATTATGTTTGCTATAAGTGGCCGTGGCCAAGGCTACGAGGAGATGCGAGAGCGGCTCCTGCAGGCGGACCAACAGGGAGATAAGAAAAATGCCTGGGCTGGCCCTCGTCGTAACCGCAGAAGTTGTAATTATACAGTGATATTACTACCGAAAAGAATGAGGGACGGCGGAAGCTGGTATACGTGGAAGTGGTGTTCCCGGAGACCGCCGGCATTTTACCCTGAATCTGGATGAAGATACGTCGTCGCCAGATAACAACCGCCACGAGAACGAGTATTTATTGTTGGCCTCAGAAGCCGGTTAAAGGGTGAGTCGTCCATGGCATCTCAATTAACGAGGAATTCGTTGCATGTTGTCTTGTCGACCGGCAGCCAATGCCTGTCTTGCTACCGGACTCTGGTCCACCAGGTTCCGTCTCGCTTACTCCTTCCACCGTGATTCGTTTTATGGCGTGGCCTGACGAAAATATACCCGGTCGATTGGTTCACGCGATACGCGCTGCCTCGAAATCGTGCCACCAAGAGATTCTTTTCGAGATCCAGCACCGCGATATTGGCGCTGAAGAATTGCGCTCGACCGTCCGCTGGAACTGTTTCGGTGTAATTGGACTCGTGGAAGTGCAGCTTTGTCAGATTTCGAACGACTGCTACGAGATATAAGTAGACTCGTAAAATTCTTTCTGCGATGGGTCTCGCTTGGGTAATTAACGTCTGAAGAAAGGTGCAGGTTGTCACGACTTCGAGGTGGAATAGTAGTTTTATTAACGAATATAAATGTTCGATATACGGATAAGAATGGAAGGAATACGCTCTTTTCATTGAAATGGGCCATTCACGACTGCCGATATTCTTCTTTCCTTCGTATGATTCCTTACAATTTCCCTGTGATTCATACGTCTACAATACGTACGTTTTACAAGCTTTCTGGATTTGTTCTTTTCAAATGGAATAATATATTAGACGAAGACCCGTGTATAAGTAATATCAGCGGGTTTTAGATATTTTTAATCGTATAACAAGATTTCACGTTCACATAAGTAGATTTAGACACTAGTCGGACGCTAACTAGACTCTCATTACGAAGTTCCACTGTAATCATTTAGATAACCAAAGACAATTTTGCAACATGGTATAACTTCACTATAATGCAGCGACAGGAGCTTACATCTCGATTTAAAAATACCATTTCATCCCAGCGCTGACAATAGGAATCTCGTAACTAAAGCTGGCAACGAAGGTTTCCGTAAAACAGTTCGAAACTTTACAGCAGCCAACGATCTCGCGAGCAAAAAAGAAAATATGGAGGTAAAGCGTCAGACGTACACAGAGTAAATAGTTGGTTCGTCTGGTCGACCAGAAAGAGAAAGAGGGAGATAGCAAGAGAGAGAGAGAGAGAGAGAGAGAGAGAATAAACGCTGCGAGGTAAATGCAGTGGCGCGCGGCTGCAAGGAATTGCGGGTTCGGGTCGCTTAATTTAAGCCGCGGAAAAGAATCCCCCCAGTCGTGTCTGTAATTTGGTTAATTTAATTAACAACGGGTTAATTGCTGGCGCGGCGCGGCCGCTCGTTTCCCTTTCCTCTGTCCGTTCCACCGGCGTTCTTTTGTCATCCTGGCACGTAGCAATTTGCGGGGTCACCGCGCGGATATAAAGCGTCACGAGAACGCGAGTTAAATATCGGGTCCGGATAGCGATTCCCGGTTACTCGAACAACCGTAATTGCGCGTATTGCACACGAAGAGGGTTCAGAGAGATGGCCCGGGCTGTTAAACAAGAGCGCGAGGCGATTACGCGCTCGGCCAGGAAGACAGAGAAGCGGTTTTCTGGCTGAGCTCTCTTAAATCTGATTAAAGATACCGGCGACGGGGAAGAAGGGCGAAAAGGAAAATGGGTATTTATTGTTATCTAAGTTCAACGAAAATGAATCAGTCTTGCTGTGTTTCCTTCTCGAGAATTACCACATCGCCCGCATTCGCACTCGTCTTCCTCTCTAATCGCGGAAACCGCGATACGTAGAATTTCTTCCGTGTAACGTACCATTTAAGCTAAGATAAATTTACGGGGCTAGTTAAACCTCGTCCGATTCTTTCCGATTTGGAGATGGTGCTCGTCTTGTTGGTGCTAATCGGGCATAACATTTACCACAGCTAAATCGACGATCTTATGAAAAATAAATGAAGCAATAGATCGATGTTATTAAAGTAAAAGCTTTTAACAGCGAATAGGACAAAGTATCGATAATAGATTGCATTTCATAAGTGTACATTGGTTACTTATTGGTGCTGATATATTATTTGAAATATTGGCAAGCGATTAAAAGCTATTCCGCGTACCTCTCGCAGGCGGAGATAAAACGCAATGATAGGAAAGTAAGTTCAATACATCGATTCTCTGGTTGGGGGAGAGAATCGTATCTTAGCTTCGCTCGGACAAACTTTTGATTGTATTCCAATTCTCCATCCAGATACTCTTTTTCTAGAATATATCGCATGACTCGCACAAATACAACGATTCCTATCTGCCTCACACATGTGAATCACGCATCATGTACCTTCTACACCAAAAAGATTACACTTTCAATATTCCGATTCACATTCTACAATCTACATTCTACGATCCTAATACCTAATAAATAACATTTCTCACAATTTCCATTACCATCCATGCCGAAACAAATACACTTTCAATGCTCAAACTAGCATTCTTCAATAAATACGTAATAAATAACTATTCCTATTATCACCCGACATCATCCCCCTTTTTCCCCTCGAAACTGGGAAAAACATTTTATCGATTTCCAAAGTACACCCTAGACTGAATGTCCCATCGGTTCCAGATTCGTGCCACGAAAAACTCGAAGGAAAGTCGCTGAGGCAAGCGTCGGATCCTACGATTTCATCCTTTTGCTCTATATAGCGTAAGAACCGCGCGCAGGGCTGGAAATCGTCTTACTTTTGACACTGAAAAATATAGTTCTTGGATATATGCGTCGTCCGGACATAGGAGGCCGGATCCACCTATCAAACTGTGCCGTAGTAGGATGAGTCAGTGGCGACCCAGGGGGACGCCAGACTACGCAGTTCATGATTATGTCACCGATATCCGTGACCGACATTTGCAAAGCGATTAAGGGATGTGCCGCGATATACAGTCGCCGACAGAGGTTCCGCATGACAATCGTCGTTACGCGAAGAAGCCCTTCGTGCCAGGTAGATTATCGTGGAACTGAAGGAAATGGCGTTGATGGTGGGACTTGACTTTGTCAACTGAAGCGCGAGGAGAACCATTGTTACGTAAATACGTAATACAACGGGACGGTTGAATCGCTTGCTTTATTAAAGTTCGGCTCATCGACGACTTAATCGACGACTCACTGTCTTCGCAACATCGTCCCTATGGTGTAACTTGTAGGAAATTTGGGTCGCTTGTTCGTAGCTTGTCGAAGGAAATCTGGGAAAAAGTATAGAAAGAGGAACGGTGGAAATTTTGACAAGAGGATACAAAAAAGATCTTTTAGATTGAAATGTAATAGTTTAGTAGAAATCAGAGGAAGGGAAGATTAATATACGAATAGAAGGATATATGTAGTAGACTCCTGAAGAATCACATTTAATTATCAACATTCTTAAATCCTGTTTCGTATGACCGATGTTAAAAAAAGAAAAAGTTTTCGATAGTCTTAATACGTAAGTATCGGAACTCTACAATTCCATCTGTTTTACAAGCGGCGCCCAAATTTCACCCATTTCCTATTTAATCGACCGTTAACGCCGTCATTCAGTCACTCTCAACGGGGCCGAATTTTCACCGTTAGAAATCCCGAATTTCATCCACCATTCACACCCTTCGATTTCCCGTCTGGTCGATGAAAAATGTCACGGCAGCCAAGCGTCCCGATAACTTATGGCACGAACCGTCCCTTGGCAGTTATGGGCCGCGAACAAGCACGGTTACGCTATTGGGACCCCGGAAGCGG